TCTTACACCTTGGTTTCATTTGTAATAAGGCTGACCCTTCCTTATTTACTTTGCAAACTCACAAAGGCAAAATATTTCTCTTGTTATATGTGGATGATATTATTGTCACAAGAAGTAATCCATCTCATGTCTCAAAGTGGGTTCTACAACTTGGGAAGGTGTTTGTTATGAAAGATCTTGGCCCATTACACTTTTTTCTAGGAGTTGAGGTGAAGTATTTTGAAGGAGGAATTCACTTAAACCAAAGCAAGTATGTTGCTGAGCTGCTGGCCAAGACAGAAATGACTTTGGCAAAGGTTGTAGCCACTCATTTGGCTCAAAAGCATGGTATGCATGAAGCTATGGGAAGTCTTGTAGATGCATCCTTGTACAGAATGATAGTAGGGAGCCTTCAATATTTGACCCTCACAAGACCTGATATCACTCATGCTGTGAATTTAGCAAGCCAGTTTATGCAAAGCCCAAATATTGAACATCGTCAAGGGGTAAAAAAGATTCTCAAGTACATCAAATGTACTCTACACTTTGGACTCAGAATTATTTCACAATCACCATGTAGGTTGTATGGCTACTCAGATGTTGATTGGGGAGGTTGTACCACAACTAGCAGATCAACTACAGGCTATAGCATCTACCTAGGTGCAAATTGTATTTCTTGGACCTCCAAGAAATAGACCACAGTAGCCCGATCGAGTGCTGAAGCTGAGTATATAGCACTAGCCTCCACTGTCGCAGAAATGACTTGGATTTTGTATATTCTTCATGACCTTGGAGTGTTCATTTGATTTGTTCCCACGTTGTATTGTGATAATATGAGTGCCTTGTACATGACAGTTAATCCAGTTATGCATGCTAGAACCAAACATGTTGAAATGGACTATCATTTTGTTTGTGAGAAAGTGGCCAGGGAACAACTTCTTACTCAGTTTGTGAAGTCTAAAGATCAGCTAGTTGATATTCATACCAAAGCCTTAACAAAACGGGTTTTCTCTGGTTTTCGTAACAAGCTAGGAGTTACAGTTCCTCCACTCACTAGCTTGAGGGGAAGTGTTGAAGGAAGCTTGAAGACTGATGGAACATGTCGAAGGAACATGTCCATCGAAGCAAGCTGACGAGTTAGAGTTAGAGTCATACTAGGACTAGACTACTAAATCCTAAGTTATGTACGACTAAGCTACTGAATATTGTAGGAGTCGACTTGGATAAAGTATTTGACTTGTAATACAATACTACTCATGTAAATAATTGTGTAGTAGTAGGATTCCTAGTATAACTAGAATAGGACTCTTCTCCTATATAAGGAGCTTGTAACTCAACATTATAATCATCAATACAATCCTTGATTTCTCTAATCCTAGTACAAAAATAATTTTATATTTTTTCCTAAAATCATTATATCTTATTTCTTACGCCAAACAACTTCTTAGTGCATTATATGGTTGGAAGACATCAATAAGGTGATAAAATATTTGATTTCTTTCTTTGTTAAAAAAATTAAGTTTTTTAATTTAATTGTTATATCAATTAAATTATTGTTTTTCTGATATAATTTTGTTATTACTAATATTTATGAATTCAAATATATGTTGAGTTGGCATAACTTTTAAGAAAGTTTTTTTTGGTATATTTTACTAAATTACCTTTATTAATGATATTTTGAAAATTTAAATATTTCTACTACTTACGTATTTATTTAAGAGAAATAATACTCACTCATCCCAAAACTAATTATGATTTTAAGTTTCTAAAATGACACTTATTTTAAAATATTTTCTTATTGTTATTACTAAAGTGACACTTATTTTGTGATGAAAAAATATTAAAGGTAGAAGGGGGAAATTTCACTTAGGTCAAATAGATTTCTCACGAAAAAAGGGGTGGTCACTAGGTTTCTTTCTCCCACTTCCCCTATAGCTTTTTTGATATCATAATTTTATTTTTTTTGGGGAAAAAATACTTAAGTTATCGTTACCCGAAAACATTATGAGCGACCTCTTCTCTTCTAATTAAAAGTTAAACTAATAATAATTAATATTATTGGTAAATTTTATTGACCTCATAATTATATTTTTAAGAGATAAAGTTGTCCTTACCAACTTCTTGTAAATAAAATAAATAGAAAAGAATCAAAAATATCTGAAACGTATGAAGAATGATTCATTAATATCCTTCATCCATCTATTGCTCTAAAAATATCCTCAACTTATTTTTGTTTACTCAAAAATAGTTCTCAAACTAACACCCTAAATTTGATGATTTTTTTCCTAAAATAATTACCCTAAATTAGAAAGGAATGGATATGTTAAGCATGTAAACTGCAAAGAATATAAAGTAATTAAAAAGGTGATTTTTCCTTCACATACTAGGATTAGGACTAATAAATTTTCTCTCATATTTTCTTATAAATACTAGTAGTACAATAATCTCTTTCTTTTCTATCCATTTTTCACAAATATATATGGCTTCCTCAAGAAAGGCTTCGAGAGCAAACTTCAATTCTTCAACAATATTTCTTATGTTTTTGTTGATTTCAGCAATACTAATGAAGTATTGCTCTTTCTTAGAAGCTCGAAATCTTAGAGAGGATAATCAACAATTAAGATTGTGCGATGAAATACACGTAGTTAGAGAAAGAGAAACACTTCAAACAATATCTGATAAGTGCGGCGATCCTTTTATATTGATAGAGAATACTCATATCAATGATGCTGATGATATTTATCCTGGTCTTGTTCTCAAGATTACCTATAGGAAGCTACCAATAATGTTTAATTAGTACCCTAATTAATTCTTACTTTTATTGTTAATGTCTCCTTAATATATACTTTGTTGTACAATGTAATTTGCTTTATACATAATTGTAACCTGCTGTTTTCAATGTAACTTTCTGATTGAAATGTTTGGAGAAGGGGGACTTCTGTTAAGGCCGGCCTCGTTAGATACTATACCAAAAGATGTAGTTGCAAATCTATCTTAATATTGTTTTGGGACATTGTTTTGATGAATATATTGTGATAAAATATGATTACTAAATATTTCATCCGTTCAGTTTTACTTGTCCAATATTTTAAAAATAGATTTTCACTTTTAGCTGTCACTTTTAATATAAAAAAACAATTATCATTGTTTCCTATTTAACCATCAACAGTAATTACTTATACCCACATCATTTCCTAAAATTAGACAATACATCAATCAATATGAGTATTATGATAAAATACTCATTAACCGGTGTGCAAAGTTCAAAGTGAACGAGTAAAAATAAATGACATAATACATAAATATGACCCTTAACTTGGTTTCAGCGGGCAACTATGCCCTCTAACTTTGTGTGTGCACAAGTAGACCCTTAAACGTGTATAAAATTGAACTAGTAGACATGCGTTTTCTACGTGGCATAATACACGTAGGACACAAAATTACCATGTAGGATGAATGTGTATTTGTTCAATTTTATATAAGTTTAAGTGTTTACTTGTGCACACCCAAAGTTAAATGTCATAATTGTCAGCTGAAGTCAAAGTTAAGGGTCATGTTTATACATAAAAGACAAAATAAAAAGAAAAAATAAAATAATGACTCAATCACACCAAATCGGTCATTACTTATTACACAAAATGATAGAGTAATTTTTTATTTTTACCCAACTATAAATTTAATTTAAGTATCGATCAGAAATAATATTATGTTATTTTAACAACGCAACACAATATAACAACCTCCATCCAAACAAGTCAAAGAAACACAAAGGGAAACGCATATCTCAAACAATAGCATGTAATAGCAAACTCTGAACCCCAGCTTTCAAACACGAAAAATAACTGACTTGTATATTCAAGCATCTCAATATGAATGAAGAAGAACTAAAGCTTGAAGATGACCAGAATTCTGACTTTAATGTGACAATACTATATAGGTTTGCGAGTTCAGTATTACAACAGTACTAATGTTCAATATTAAGCATACCTGAAAATTAACCTTACAAACAATACTCACATAGCCAAATTAATTTTGTTGCAGAAAATCATCAGTCTAGTTCATGATGACCTGAAGAATACAACTCTCCTTCTTCTTCACCAAGAATGGTACGAAACGGTTGTAAAGTGAGCATGGGGTAAACATTATTTTTGGAACTCAGAAGTGTACATAAAAGCAACAACTCTTCCAAAGATACTTAGCTTTAATATATCTATCTTCAGTTCATCGACTAAAAATTCGTCTAATCAAATCAGGTATATTTTGTGGTTCATCAGTCGATGCAAGATGTTCTTTAATTTCCGGCCAAGACGGGTAACATGTTCATAGTTATGAACATATCAGGTTTGCTAAAACGTTGAACCAAAAATACTGAGAATGATTCAACTAAAATTTGCTAGGATGAAGCTAGTGATCTTCACCTAAGCAACAATCAACAAATTCACGTTTTAGTATGAAGCTAATGATGACCAGGAGAAAGAATCTTGAGTTTAAGGCTTTGCTTCAAGAGGACACAAAACCCAACTTTTAGGATAGTCAACAAGCAGAAAGGCACATGATTCGTAGAGATCATACATCGATTATTACCGTTCAGATTCAAGCAATGCTTATTTAACGGGTAGGACTCAAATGTATTTCCCAAAATGCTACAAAGCTAAGTGACTTGTGGATTCTCTACAACTTTTACATCGTTGCGAGGAATGATGGGGTCAAATTGTCTGGCATGCCCTCTATACCTGCACAAAGAATAAGAACTATGAAAATATTTTGAAGATGCTTCCAAATGTGATCTAACACTAGTAGGCATATACATGAGCAGACTGTTCCATCTAAAACATATGGAAGTGAATTAATTTACAATTTACGGCATGTCTGTCACAGATGACATGATAAATCCAATGCATGAGAAATCAAACTGATAGAATATTTTAATGAGATAAACATCACAAGTTATGCCTGAGCTGAAATTACGATCACTGCTGTGAAAAACAGAGATTAAGGGATCATTTATAAACTTACAAATTTTATCCTCTCTCCTGGTTATTTAGCATGTCCAAAATAGCATAAGCAGCTCTTTGAAAATGTTCCTTCTGTTCCTCTAAAGTTTTACTTCTCTCAAGAGCAGACTCCTTGCACTTCTCCATGTCTTCTGTTACTTCAGTAGAGCTCTGATCAATTTCGCTGTAGAAAGTGATATAAATGTGAAAGGGTAGGACACAAACAAGCAGACAGGGAGAGAGAGAGAGAGAGAGAGAGAGAGAGAGATAATTGTCCATAGATGCAATGAAATGAATGGTTACGGTCTTTAACTCTAACTAATAAGTTGCAAGAAAGAATGCGCAGTTAAAATAAAAATGCAAGAAAGACTGTTATGAAAGAGTGAAATATGAAAACCAATAGCTTCAGAAGAATGCAAACTCCTGGTTGCCCTCGAAATATTGACGCATTTGATATATATAAAATAGTAATCTTGAGATTTAGTCAAGAACATTAAAAAATGGAGGATAGAATAGATGAATATTAACAATACAAGTCCAAGTTTTCAAAGCCAATGCAAGTATTTGCTCATTTCTCTATGTTGCTATGTAGATAAAACTATACTTCCTTCAGTCACAATGCTAATCAGCTCACTTTATCATCTTCAGCATGTTCTCCATTGCCCCTTGCACTTGTTGTGAGAGCTCTGCATAACCATTTTGTAGAACATGTAAGTTCCTCATGATATTGCAATTCCACAAGGTATATTAACATTTAATTGATGACAACGCTAATCAACACATTAGCAAAACTTCTAGTAACTGAACACAAAGGCCCTATTTCAACATGACCAGGCAAATGGCAGATGAATTCTAGTAACACATTTAGAACGTGCGGGTAACTGAAAATATCAAGTTCCCTCTCAATAAGTCGAAGCATGAACCACCAATAATAACTGCCGGGGCTCAGTGAAGCTTATTTGTTTTAACTTGATGTTCCATTATTTTCATTAACATGTCATATCAGAACATCCACTAAATCCAGCAATAAATTATGGATTTGAATTAGGGATTTCCTCAGTTAGTTATTAGGTAAAGAGAACGTCCAGTGCACTTAGTCACAAGTAGGATTCGAGACCACATTCCTTCACATCATAGGTCAGTAAACCGGATTAAGACCATAAAACTACATATTGATCAATAAACTTCAGTAGTATCTAGCTATGCAACTCATACACTACATTCTTCCTGGATTTTCCACAATCAGTTTCCATTTTATATTTAAGAGGAAACTGAAATATGACTGACGTAGTATTTGCAATTTATTTCTTTTTTAGTTCCGTGAAGTATGTATAGTGTAGACACATAAGTCTACTGAATTTTTGAGTGATAATTCATCTCCATTGTTTGATGCAGGATCTCCAAAACAAAAATTTAACCACTATCTTTTTATCACCAGACGCATGCAATTTGTGGAATGAAGAGAAAGGCATTTAGATTCCAACTTAGGATGGTGTGCACTTCCAAAATTAGATGTAACAGATGAGATGATCTAAAACTTTGCTAAAAGCAGCATACCAAGACCATGTGAAACAGTAGTTTAGATCAGTTAATTGTTCATTTTATCTCAATTCAAACCAAATTCCTCAGCATTTTATCCTCATAGCATGCAATTAACAATTCATAAATGTTTTGAAGATCAATTGAGACAGTTGGCTAATATTCTCAGTTCTCTTGCTGTATAGAAGCCTTATTCTTTAGACAGATAATACAAAACTATTTTCTAATATATCAAATTTACCTAGTTAGGTCTAAATTGTCTCTCACATTAATCAAGCAACTTGTAAATTCTCTCTAATTCAGAAAAAAAAAATAGGAAAAATATCAAAATTTCAAGAGAAATTCAATCACTAGCAACTAAAGTCGGAAAAGTAACACAGGCAAGAATATAACTGAAGAAATTATAATTAATTTAACTGGAAAAAAAAAACTGATAGTTTATAATTCGAACTATTTCGTCTCCCATTCACGAAGACGAAATTCAAAAAAAATATGCGAAAAAACAACACATATGACGCTGAGACAGAAGAAAACAGCACATGAAAGCTAATGCAAAAGCGGAAAAGGATTACCAGAGGAAATATCAAACAATAACATATCAATTTGACTAAAACTCCGAAGAAGAAAAAAAAAATACAAATCGTCCAGCTAAAATTTCAATTGGTTACAGATCTTCAAGATAAATGCATACAATTGAACGTAGTACTCAATATACATATGGAGAATACCGTAAACGACGGAGGAAAGCTGAGATTCGATTTCGGAAGTCCGAGCAAGTTGATCGTCGGCGGCACCGGCGGTTCTGGAAAGTTCCATTTTCTGTTTGAGCAGAGAGTGTTTGTTAAGTGTGAATGAATTTGAGCGCGCTTTTTCTCCTGCTTTTATAGGCAATTCATTTGGGCATTTTCGAATATTGAATCGTTCAAATAAGAAAAGAAAATTTCCAAATTTGCCCTTGAATTGTGCCAAATTAACGTAATTAATATTATGGTGCAAGAGGTGAACATGGTATGGTACGGTAGGATATTTCAAAGTTTCAATATCTTAATTTTGATATTTGGTTTTTAAAATATTATATCATTATCATACTAATTTAATTCGGTATGATTTGATATTTCGAAGTTCGGTTTGATATTCTATGGTATGGTAAATCGGTAGAATAGTTTGTTCAACTTCTACTAATATATATTCATATAATAGAGTATTAAGACTTCAACAATTAAAAACATGTCTCAATTGTATTATATTAACACGTTACACGTGTAGAAATATATATTCAAAATAAAGTACAAACAACTTCTTTTGTTAATCAATTAAATTTCAATCAAAATAGAGTGGTCAAAGTTTTAACTTCTAAACATTTACTTTATACTAATATTAGGTTGCATATTTGTTAGTATTTTAATTATATATATATATATATTATAGAAGCGAATGTTAAGGAGCTTAGGGTCAGCCGGTCAATTGACTGGTTTGCCCTTCTCCTCAACTTCTTCTATTTATATATTTTCTTTTTTATATACTATGTATTTATAAATATAGTATTAAAAATTCACTTAAAATATTATAAATTTGATTACCTCTCGAAATTTCACATGTACTGCATAATTAGGACTGAGAGAGTACCACATATTAATTGAAAATCACATTAAGAGTTCTATAAATCACAATAATTAACAACTTAAAATATTTAAAAATAATATTAAAATGTGATTAACTCTCGAAATTTCACATGTACCACATAAATTGACACAAAGGGAGTAACATATATTATTTGAAAATTACGTTAAGAGTACTATTAATCACAACTTAAAATATTTAAAAACATATTAAAAAAATGATTAAATCTCAAAATTTAACATGTGCCATATTAATTCGGACAGGGGAAATAACATATATTATTTAAAAATTACATACTTGAAATATTTTTTTAAAAATATATTAAAAATTTAATTAATTCTCAAAACTTCACATGTGCCACATAAATCACAATAATTAACAACTTAAAATATTTTTAAAAATATATTAAAATTTAATGCACTCTCGAAATATCACATGTGCCAAAGATATTATTTGAAAAGTACGTTAAAAATATAATAAAAATAATAAACCATAATAATATTTAAAAATTTAATTGACTCTTCTAATTTTATCTGTATCACATAAATTAAAATAACTAAATTAATACATATTGGGTCTGGGCTTGCCCGGGCTTTTATGTCTAGTGTGTATATATATATGTGTGTGTTATTTATGTAACTATATACTTCGGTATGGTATTCGGTATTTGATATTTTGGTATATTATTTCAAAATATCAAATACCATACCGAATACCAAAAAAAAATTAAAATGTATACCATATATCATACCATAATATCAAAACCACGGTATTAAAAAATTTAATATGGTATGGTAATTCGGTATATATCATACCGTGCCCACCGTGCAATGGTCATCTTGAACTAATTTAACAAGAGACTGATTAGTTTCTAAAAAGGATGATTAGAAATAATGGCATATAAATGTCTAGTTTAGCAACAATGAAAATGAAGTGAATTATTATTAGTTGAGATTATGAATCATCATTTTTGCATTCAAGTTTAAATTAATTGTCTTTCCTTCACATAAATATTAAAGACTTTAGTCATTGTTTGGAGGGTAAAAGAGTTAAAGCTCGAATATGAGAACATATTTTAGCCTAACCACTCAGTGCCCAATAAGAGTACTGATATTAATAAAGGTTTGTTAGTCTAATTTAAGTGAGTTGCTCATGTACAACCTTGGTCTAGGATATAATTTTAAATAATATCATTCAAGATAAAATTTTGAATAATTTCTTTTTATTATACGCTGCCCAAATCGATATAGTAGTTTGAGTATGCTTCTAAGAATACAAAATAGACAATCTGCTACTTGGGCTTTGTCTTGGTCTTGACTCTTGGGCTTCGGCTTGGGCATACAAGGAAGAATTAAGGAATGGGAAAATTATATATAATAGCAAACTATTAATTCAAATTGAATGTTATAAATATACTTTGATTTAATTATACCCTATAGCAAATTATTGCTATTTTCGCCACTCTCCCTGGTGGAATCTCGCTCGCCACTCTCGTTTGGTGGCAGTCTCGCTCGCTTTTATACAAACACAAATGTATAAAATGTGTTTGTGTTTGTATAAAGCGAGAGGAAATTGTATATATACATATATTTTCGTTCCCCTCTCTCCCCTCTCCCAGATCTCGCTCATCACTCTCCCAAATCTCGCTCGCCACCCTCGCCTCTCTCGCTTATACAAACAGAACGAAATGTATAAATTGCGCTTCTGTTTGTATAAAGCGAGAGAAAATTGTATATATACATGCAAATACATATATCTTTGGCCTAAACACTTATAATTATACAATACAAATATTTTCCTACTCAGTTTTATTTTGCCTTTCTCTCTTTCTTGTTTTATACATACACAGATTATATAATTGATCTTTTGTATACAACTGCTTTCTTTTGTATATGTATAACGAATTATACAACTGCTTTCTTTGTAGATGTATAGCGAATTATACAACTATTTTTTTTGTATATGTATAGCGAATTATACATATATATGTTTGCTATGGAGCGCAATTATGCAAATTTTGTTATAGCATACAAATATGGATTTTGTGTTTGTTATATGTGAAAGTTGCTCTTAAGGGATTAATTGGAGAGCAACTTTCACATAAAACAAACATAAAAATCATATTTGTATGTTATAGCTATAGTTTGTATAATTGCGCTTCATAGCAAATTTTATATTTGTTATGGAGCTTTTTATTTGTATAATTCGCTAGAAATATTCAATTTTATACAAATTGTTCAGTTTTGTATAAATTCATTTATATATTGTAATTTGTATAATAAGATCTGTATTTGTATAATTATAAGTGTATGGGATGAAAATATATGTATTTGTATTTGTATATACATTTTTCTCTCGCTTTATACAAACACAAATACATCTTATACCGAAATGTATAAAATGGCTAATTGTATTCAGAAAATGGCTAAATGTATACCGAATCAGATGACAAAAAAAGGGAATGTTTGCTGCGAATTACAATTAAAATAAACTATAGCTATAGCATTTAATTTGAATTAATAGTTTGTTATTTCATACATTTTCCCTTAATTGGACTAGTCATCCCCTTTTAGAATCTCCAATATATACAGTAATACTCCCTCCGTCCCATTTTATATGTCATCCCTTTCTATAAATAGTTGGTTCATAACACTTGTCATTTCATAAAATCAATGCATAAATTACCAATTGTTCCTTTTTTACCCTTGTGAGTTATTAGCCTTGAAAATATACATTTGACCAACTTAGAAAAGCTAAGTAAATGATTCATGTTCATTGGTTAAATTAATTAATCAAAATAAATTAATTCATATTCATTGATTGAAAACTTGAGTTCCAAAAAAAATAAATAAGGGTAGAAGGGTAAAGTTACATCATTTCTTAATGCAAGTGCAAAGTAAAAAGGTGACATATAAAATGGGACGGAGGGAGTAGTATCCAACAAAAACAAACAATTATGACCAATGCATGATCAAATCTTCATGAAGGAAATGGATTACCATAAAACTTGAGTATTTAATGTTTTTCTAGATGTATCCACGCATAGATACACTTAATATATCAGTGTATATTCAAAACGTCTTATTTGTTGAATGTCTGAGTATATATTTGATACAAGATGCGTGTATTTAAGCATTGGACATATCAAATTGATATTGAATATACTAGATGAAATTGTTATTGGATGCATGTAAATTGATATTGGATAATCAGTACACTCCTAGAAATTGATACAAGCTTATGCATATATAGACAAATACATACTTTTAAAATTGATATTTGATATACAAATACAATCATAGTGATACAAGCTTATGCATATGTAGTTACATGCTTTCATATTATATTGGAGACACTCGTAGAAAAATAATTCTAGATACACAGATACATGAAATTGCAAAACATAAATACATTGTAAGATACAAATACAAAGAAGGATAGGATGAGAGACGGAGAAAGGCGAGTGAGAGAGACAATGTATTTCAGACACATGCAAATCACACTTCGAATACAATGACTTCAAACCAAAACTCGAACGAAATATGTAATTTTTTGAAATTAATGCTTTATTGAGTAATTAACACTTATGCTACTGTGCTTTAGGAAATTTGCTCTTTTTAAATGGACTTCGAAAAATTATCTCCCACTATTAAATCACGGGTTAAGTTGGGTAGACCAATGGATCAGCTCATAATAACCGTCTTTTAAGTCTCTATACCACTATAAAATTACATAGTATATAAGCAGTAAATGTTTTTAAAGGTAGATTGTTTAACCTAAAGAGTAAAAAGGAAAATAACTTTGATTATGAGAAGACAGACGTATTTATGATACAAGCAATTTTTTTCAGCTGTCTTAAATTTGGATATTAAATAAGAAGCAGAAAATTAATTATATTTTTTTTTGTGTGTTTCTCTCTTGTAGTTTTCAATTTTCAACAAGGGGCTGTACTAGCCAATGAATAAAAACAAGAATTTGTTTTTTTCTTTTCTATTTTTTACTGACATAGAATTTTTCGTTAGGTGTGATAAACCACGACTCAATAAAATACTGGGATTTTGACAGAAATTTTATATTAATTTTTTCACGTTAAATCTTATAGTATTATATAGTACTACTTACTTATATATTTCATTAAATTAATATTATTTTTGTCGGGCATAAAAGGGACATTTGAGTCATCTGAATACTTTTCTGATACAAAAAATCCAAATT